GGGTAGGAGGGGGCGAGGCGAAGGGGTTGAGGGAGAGAGGGATCATTTTAAGATGATTATTCTAGTCATCACTAAAACATTATCTACAATCTACAGCGATATGATTACAACAACAACAACAACAACAACAAGATTCCATTTATAGAGCGCCTTTCACGTCAGGAGGGCGTCCCAAGGCGCTGCACAGTTGGGTCATGACCCGAGCAGGGGGGAAATGGTCCGGGTGAGGGGAGGGAAGGGAGGGAGAGAGGAGGGGGAAATGGTCAGGTGAGGGGAGGGAAGGGAGGGAGCGAGGAGGAGGAAGAGAGTCGAGAGGGGAGCTGAAGGCACGGTCAAAGAGAAAGGTTTTGAGACCGGCCTTGAAGGAGGAAAGGGAGGAAGCGGCGAAGGCACTGGGGGATAGAGTTCCAGAGCCTGGGGGCTGAGAGGCTGAAGGCCCGACCACCGATAGTAGGGCGGTTGGGGCGGGGGACGTGGAGCAGACCGGAGCCAGAGGAACGGAGGGTACGGGCAGGTAGGTAGGGGATTACTGCGATTGCTGTACTTCGATATTCATCTTGACATAAGGCAGAACAGTATAGGGAGGGATCATTAGAGCTAGATGTGGAGGTCTTTACTGTTTGTCCACAATGAATAAAGTCCACTTAGGAGACTGTACTAACAGCTCCAATGCTTTACCATGCAGATTTCCGTGGTACCCAGTAACCAATTCCACTACAAACCTGCCTTGACTGAAGAGGATGATTGATGTGGTGGGGGAATGGGGCTTAATGAAAGAGGCAGGAAGGGAAAACAATTGAATATTAAATTCAATCCTCTTTTAAACTAAAGCTGCCATTGAGAACGCAAGTAATAATCCTGATTTATTAGATCAACCCTGACTTTTTACCCCTTGCCTCCCCTCCACCTCAATTATTTTAACCCAAAAGCCTAAAAAGCCAGGTCTTTCCTTTTGTGTGGTCCTACTAGCCAGTGGCTGTGATTTTCACATAATGAAAGTGGAATTTCAATTGAAAGTTGATGGTGAAGCATATGACGGGTTAAGTTATTCCCTATTTCTAATTGAATTTTGTGCAAGAATGTTGCACCGCGAATGACACTAAGCTACTAAGCTGTGTAAAAGTGAATTTGACTTAAATGATGTGCAAAGCATTTCGGGGATATTCTGTGCCCGAGTTGTCCAAATCCACGGCCAAAAGCGAACGAGTTACAAAGGTGCCAGTGATTACTTTAATTCTGCCTCAAATTATCGTACTGTATTCGCGCAAAACGTCAAACCAACACACAACTGATCACAACTGAAAATGTGTGTGTATATATATATATATAGGGGGGGCGACATTGTTGTCACCCAATGATTTGAGTCCATTAAACTAGACGTGCATTCTAACGGGTCTGCAAAACCAAGTGACCTGCTTCGCTCTGGGTCATCTGTTCGCTGTTTACGACCCTTGCACCTTCTGGCGTGGCTGACCTCTTTGACCACATAGCATGCTGGAAGCCAGCTGGTCACCATCTACTGCTCTTGACCGTGAATTAAAAGCACTCATGAGCATGGGCCTGGCCCGACTGTGCTGGAAGAATGCTGCAAGTCTCGTAACCGTGGGTCCACTGGTGTTGTAAGTGGGCTCGTGTTCTGGCCTGGAGTGTTATATAATGGGATCACCCTGTGTAATCTTTCCTGTAACTGTTGAAGATATCAAATCTCCTGTGCTCCGCCTCTATCCCCACAGATTATCCGGACGATTTAAATCTCAGCGAAACCGTTCTACAAACTACAACGTTTCTTCCGGAGGATTTTACCTATCTTCCTCACTTAGTCTGCCCCGAAAGACTTCCTTCTATGAGTGAGTATTGTATACCGTCATGTCATTGTTTGTGAGTTTTTTTGGAAATTGATTGAGCAGTGTTTTTTTAATCTGTGGTTAAAATTAATCTGAATTGCAAGAATTTGCTTTTTGAGGCTGCATCTAGAATGCTTTACAGTGCGGGAATGAAATTTCCCAATCTCCACCCAAAATTGGAAGCTCCACAAGTCAGTGCCACACCTATTAATCGAAGCCTCAATTGGCAGCTCTCTGTTATTCAGGTGCCAAAACCAGATTTGTTAAGTGCCTGAGGATGTCCACTTGACATGAAAGGCACTATTGTAAATGTAAAATTGTATTCAATCTTTCTATTCCACCAAACTCCCACAAATACACCCATTTCTTGAAGGTCATATTTTTATTTCATGATTGACGTTGGAAAGCTAGGTGAACAAAACAATCACATTTAAGAAAAAAAACAGGAAAATCACTTCTGCTGTACAAACAATACTCCCATCTCATCTGTCAGTGAAGCCATTTGTAGTAATGTATCCTCGTGCCCCTTTCTATTTTTTTTAAAAAAACAAGAAATTTGCTTTTATGTTAGCTTTCCCAAGTTTCCTTCCTTTCCCCACTCCAAAAACAAACGACCTGGAATGTTAATGTCCGTGATAATCTTGCTTGCACCACACTGGGCGAGAACCCACTGTGCATAAATGGTTTAAATTTATCTTAAACAAGCGAGTCCTTTCAGTTAAAATAGTTGGACTAAATGCATCCCATCCAGCTGTTCTCACAGTCTTCCAGATGAGCTGAGGTGGGCAGAAATGATGGGGGATCCTATTGCATCTGTCACTATATTACATGCTGCTTCGGAAAGTAGGTCAGGCCTGAGGTGGAAGGGAAGAGGTAGCTGCAGTATGTGGAACCTGGTCTCACTGAAGGTAGTTCAGGCTGATTAGCACGAATGCTACTTCTGTTAATTGGCAGATGGCGGAACTTTGGATCAGCAATTCCACTGTTTAAAGTGCTGTTACTGAGATGTATTATCTATTGTTCAGTCTGTCTTCAGAGGGCTGTCAGTAAATGGGTAATAGTGTAAATGGAGCGTTAGGAAATAAGAATGCAATTTTATCACTGTAGCCTCGTTGCTCTTAAAACTGTTAACTGAATAAGAGGAAGTTCTGTCTTTTTATTAATACTGTCAGGATCTAGTATAATGTGATGTTATGCATGCACAATGTTTTACACGCTATTTCTACATAACAATCATTTGCATTTACATAACAACGTCTCTGAGTGCTTGCATATAATGTATTAAACACTGCAAGTTTCGATTTTGCCCTTCTGAGCTTAGTTTCTTTGTTGGAGTGATGGGTTTTGAACTATTGATTAAGAGTACATTGTGTGTGTGTGTGGTGTCGTTTTCTCTCTCGCTTTCTCTCTCTCTCTTCCCGCTTTCCTGCAAGAGTCAGCAGTACTCTAGTTTCAAGCCATTCAGCATAAAAAAAAATCTTAAGTGTTTCACAAACATTATCTGGAAGAAAGGAATTGATCAAATGGATCTGGAAAACCACTGTTTTCTTCTTGTTCCCTGAACACTTAAAGCAACTCTGTGGTTTTTGATTGTAGGTTCCACATTGTGATTTCTAGAATTGCTTAGTGCTGCACTCAGCATTTTAGCGCTGACAACATTTAACAAAATGACCTTTTCATTCCCACTGTTTCCACACAGAAGGGCCAATTGATGTAAACATGACTGAACTGTCACTGGAAGAGATTCATCAACACTTTTTGAAGGATCCTTATATACAGCTTGGTGGTCATTGGAAACCTAAAGATTGTATTCCTCGCTGGAAGGTACAAAATTATTGCCTGCTTTACACAAAAAAAACTTATTTTTGTCCTTCCTATAGCTTAAGTTCTAAACTAGTATTGTGATTTTTTTTTAAAAAAGCCCAAATTTGTGCTTTTTACATTTTTTAAAAAAATACTACAGCTACTGATTTATTGCAGCAGTCCATTGCCATGATTTCTATTTTTTTGGGGAATTCTGCATTAACTGCAAATCTAATCATTTCACAAGATTATTGTTGACTTTTTTTAAGAGTAGGGACACCTTTCTCCATTCCCTTTTTCTCCTGAAGGTGATTTGATGCTTTCTGAGGATTTGGTCCCCAGGTGCTAGTCACCCTCTAGCACACAATCTAAGTGGCCACTATTCATTTCATCAGGTTATTTGTTCTTAAATGGAATTGCATCTTAGCCTGATCTTGTGCTCAGCTGTTGTTCACACACAGGTAATTCCAGCACAAGTTGCTGAATTTTGAGATCAGGAGAAGAAACCTATCTGATTTTACTTGGTAATTGTAGCTTCTTTCTTTCATCCGCTCTTTCTTTCTTTCTTTATTTCTTTATTTAACCAGCAGACAGTAACTGGGGATCTAACTGGGACCTTTATGATCTGTATTGCTCAGGCAACTACAGGGTTGTGTGATCAAGTAGCCACAATCGGGTATTTGGTTGGAGGTAACCAAAATATTATGGTGGGGAATAAAAGATATTTTGACTGCAGAAAGGAGCAGTCAATTTCTTAATGTAAACAATTTCTTTTTTTATTTTTTATTTTTATTGTTCTAAATTCAGGTGGATATATTTCCTGCACTTGAAATCCAGCTCCCGCATTAGTGTAATCTTGTAGAAATTGATCTGCTGCTGCTTTTTAATTTGAAAACCACACTCTTTTATTCTTCGATAATTGCCATCTCAACACTCTTGCTTGCTCTGCTCCCACAAATGTAGTTTTATTTTGCATTACTACTACTAATAATCCTTGCATTTGATTCTCTTCAAACTACAGGTGAAGCTTCTTTTGCCGTAGATTTTTTTTCCGGTTTGTTAAATAAATGACCCGTTTCTTCTGGAAGGAACATGGAAGATGTAGATTACAGAATTACTTTCACGCTGAGTTTGGCCTGATTGTTTCTATGCAAATGGAGTTCCTGTGTGACATTACCATCAGGGGTTGTTAATGGCAATTCCTTGTATGAATATCACATCTTTCCCATCTTTCATTATTATATACGTATCAAATCAACGGTAATAACTTTCCCTACAGCAATAATGTAGGTAGCCATAATCACGTTCACAAATCGTTGAAAGGGTGCCTTATTAAATGTCATTTACTCTTCCAATCAGGTGTACTGACTCTTATTGGTTTGAACTATACCTTGTTTCAGGTGGCGATTTTGATTCCATTCCGTAATCGACATGAACATCTACCGATACTCTTAAGGCATTTGATTCCAATGCTGCAGCACCAACGCTTGCAATTTGCCTTCTACATAATTGAGCAGGTAACTAACATTTAGTGTCTGAATGTTCATCTTATCTTAGCCTTTTGAAAGAATATTGAATGATTCTATTTAATATTTGGAGAAATGGCAAACATTAATGGGGTTTAGAAATCCATTAAACAATTGTCAACTGGTTTTGATCTATAATAACTACTGAATTGTGGTAGAGTAACAGAGTCTGTATTGTATGCAAGATATTGTCAATAGTCCAAAGACTATTTAGTTGGGAAATGCCACAATAAATCTAGGATTCCTCTGTGCTGGCTTTCTCTCTCCCCGCACCCTCCACCTAACCCCTCCCAATAATTACACGTGTTCCATCTCCATTTACAGTTAATTGAATGTGGTTCAATGCTTTTAACTAGAGAGAAGCAATATCTGGTGACGAGATTTCCAGAGTAACCCCTCAAATTGTGACAAATCTACAAGGTGCCTACGTGTTATATCCACAGTTAACTCTGATCCAGTAGCATAGATAAACCATTTACCTGTGAAACAAGTAGTGTAACAGGAGTTTGAGTACCAGGAATTTCCATTGGGTCAGTCAAACAAACCGGAATGTTTTTTCAACCAAACTTATCTGGTAGAATATGTTAATGTAATGGGTACTTAATTTAAATGTTCTCTGAATGGGGGAATTTAGATAATTTTAAGATAACTCTGACTATATCTGATATTTGGTTATAAAATACTAGTGTGTGTGATGCATATTTCTTTATAAAATGCAAACATGTATTATCAAAAGCTGATTCAGGCTCCAACCTCATTGTCAAATGTATGTTCTCTCATTAGGCCGGAATGCAGCCATTTAACCGTGCTATGCTGTTCAACGTTGGATTTATGGAGGCTTTGAAAGACGAGAATTGGGATTGTGTCATCTTTCACGATGTCGATCATATACCTGAAAACGATCGCAACTACTATGGGTGTGGAAACATGCCAAGGCACTTTGCTGCTAAATTGGATAAATACATGTACCTGTAAGTCCTGTTCTATGATTTGAAGCACATTATGTTTTCCTCCGCCTCACTCGAAATTCTACAAAGCTATATCCTAATCCTTGGCCCAGAAAAGCAACTCTGAGACTTATAACTGAGACTCTGTTATACTGTATGCTGCTTGCTCTGCAATGAGTCATCAGGAAATGTATATGTGGGCTAGGGACACTTAAGACTTGTGAATTTACTTATTCTGTGGGTTTTAACTAGTTTCCTACCACACTGATGCCCACTAAGTGGTCCAGGTTGTGCCTAGTTTTGAACCAAAAAAATGTTTGAACAAAAATACTTGAGTTTAATAATAATCCTTGCATTTGATATAGTGCCTTATCACGTCGTTGCGACGTCTCGAAGAGCTTCACCGATTATAACGTAAAGTGAAATGGCTGTATATTTTGTGAGCAAAACTGAGGTTGTGTTATGTTTTTCTTTTTCTACAGGCTTCCTTATAATGAATTTTTTGGCGGTGTAAGTGGATTGACAGTGGAGCAATTTAGGAAAATTAATGGTTTTCCAAATGCTTTCTGGGGTTGGGGAGGTGAAGACGATGATCTGTGGAATAGGTAGGTCAGTTTTGATTAGTAAATGGGGTCTGGATTTATGGATAGAATTCTGTGTAAAGTGACATCTGTTTAACAAAGAAATATCAGGCCCACTGCACATTCCTCACGTTATTATTGGCAGACGAGTTTCTAGACACTGCATTCTCTGGAACAAAAATCCATCTGCCTCTCTCACATACACTCCTCGTTCCCAAATATTTTGGTGCTTTCAGTCACCCTTGTGCTACCACCGGTGCTATCTGTCCCAATTTGCTTGATGATCCACATTCTTGTAAAGCACTTAGAAAAGCTATCCTACAGGAAAAGCGCTTTGCAAAAATGCAAATTGACATTGAGAAAACCACTCTTAAATCAAAATAAGGGCAGAGGGTAAGGCTGTAAAAGGTTCTGCTTTCTATTATATCATTTGTCCTAAAATTAATATTTTGGTACACACATGCAGGCTGTTTTGCAATAAAAATAGTATATGTGTGTTTCTCTCTCCCGCATTATTATGTAATGTCAAAGTTTTTGTTGCGACAAAAGAAACGTTCTTGCACACTCATAAGCCTTGCGGGTCTGTCAAAAATACTTCTAACTCGGATCCTGTTAAGGGACCTCTAGGTTCTAAGAAATTTACCCTAGTTCTGGTTATATTGCTCATATGAAAAGGGAGGCTTTTAAACTCATTCCATTACTTCTTCAATTTTCCCATTGCTTTCCTCTTCTTTACTTGTTTGGAACAGAACCCAGTTATTTAGATGGTCTGCCATGCTTAAAAGATGCATGGTCAGTGTTGGGGAAACTTTCTCATTTCCATTTACTTGTTCCTGTTTTACCAGGGCTTTAAGCTGGTTATGCACCAGCCACTTGATGTATGGAAGCTGGGGAATAAGGGAATACGTTACTGGTGGAGAACAACAACAATAACAAAATTACATTTATAGAGCGCCTTTCACGTCGGGAGGACGTCCCAAAGCGCTGAACATTCAGGTGTCGGGGTCCGAGCATGGGGGACGGGTGGTGTAGGGTTGAGGCAAGGAAGAGAGGTGGGAGGGGGACCAAAGGCAAGGTTGAAGAAAAGGGTCTTGAGACCGGCCTTGAAGGAGGCGAGGGAGGAAGCGAGGTGAAGGGACTGTGGGATGGAGTTCCAGAGTGTGCGGCAGAGAGGCTAAAAGCCCGGCCACCGATGGTAGGGCGACGGGCAGGAGACATGGAGCAGGCCGGAGCCTGATGAACGGAGGGAGTGGGCAAGTTGGTAGGGAGTCAGCAGGTCAGATAGGTAGGAGGGGGCAAGGCCATGGATGGTCTTAAAGGTGCGGACAAGGATCTTGAACTCTGGGGGATGGGGAGCCAGTGGAGTCGGGCGAGGGGGGGAGTGATGGGGTTTTGGATGATCTGCAGCTTGTGAAGGGAAGAGTTGGGAAGGCTGATGAATCATATTAACTGTGTTATGAAATGATTATTTGGAAACTGAATATTTAGTTTTATGTTTAATCGATAAGTTATCAAGGCTGTTTGTGGTCAGTCTGAACTCTATTGTACCTCAGAAATGCGTAGCTTCTGTGCTATCTTACTATTCAGCTTGCAAATCTTGTTGATAATTGCTGAAGTTCTTTGATATTACAATTCAATAGCTCCATCGCCTTAGATGAATAAACATTTACCTGAATCTCGTGATTCATTGCAATCATGTGAGATTTACATATTTTGCAATCGGGAATACTTGCTAACTAGTTTTACTTTTAATACATATAATATCCTTGCAATTGATATAGTGTTTTTCACATCTTCTAGACATCTCAAAGTGCTTCATAGAATATACTGTACAGTGAATTGACTGTATATTTGTGGGTGAAATGCAGCAGCCAATTGTGCACAGCAGTGCCCCGCAAACAGTTGTGGATTGAGTGACCAAATTTTTTTTATATAATGTATATAAAATATGANTTTTTTTCCTTCAGGGTTCAGTATGCTGGTTTTACTGCAACAAGACCTGAAGGTGATTTAGGAAAATATAAATCCATCCCCCATCACCATCGAGGGGAGGTACAATTCTTGGGAAGGTGAGTGAAAATGTCATTGTAACGTGTTTGCTTGAAATGTTTCATTCAATTCCGGTAGAATCGTTGGGGGTGGAGAGAGAAACCAACCTGAACCAGTTTTTAGCCCCTGTTCTTATGGTTCTATCAGTGTATCATGCTGATCGAAACCACATGACTGATTTGTCTCTCTGAAAAAGTCCCATTTCATTATGGCTTGGGTACTGCTGCAGTCCAACTAGCTAAAGTCACAGCTTGCCAATGATAGCAATGTTTGGGAAGCTTTCTGCGGCTTGTCCATCTGGAGACACCCTACCACATGGAGCATTGACTTGCAGGGTTAACAAGAACCAAATGAGAAGAATTCCTGCCGCTCCTAAGTCCTGCCAACTGGGAGTACAGTGTACTTGCCTGGCTCAGGAACCAGACTACTGAGACAGCCACAGAACATGGCCTCTATATTCTGACATTCTGTTGTCGAGCACGGGTCACCCTAGATTCAGCTCAGGTTAACTTTTTAATCGGGGTGGGGTGGGGGGTGGAGAGAGAGAAGATAATTAACTTTGTTTTTTGATGTGCAATAAGCCTTGTTTTGATACTATTCTCTTGATTGCAGATATGCTTTATTGAGACATTCTAAAGAGAGGCAACAGGTCGATGGCCTGAGCAACTTGAAGTACTTTCCAAATATCACAGTTTATGCCTTGTATAAAAACATAACTGTGAACTTGACACCGGAGCTGGCTCCAGTAAACGACTATTAAGCTATAATAGATATTAGGGTCTCTTGCCAAGAGAAAACATAATGGATGGACTTTTGGAACTTTTACTGGTAAAGATCTGCAGCAATCTAAGCAAATAGCAGTTCGACCTTGAGGAAGAAACGAGAAGTTAGATCTAACTTTAGTAATCGAGTTGTGCCATGGTCAGCAAAAGGACTGTGTAGCGGAACTGATGGTTCTAAACAACGTCTAACAAGGACTTCAGCGTCATTTGGTAATGGACTCCCATCAGTGTATTCCTTTCCTCCCTCCTTCCTTGTGGATAGCAGTGCCGTTGATAATCAAGAAGGGAAAAAATGAATCCAAGCAACTGCCGTTGCAGGAATGAATTGAAACCTACCCCAAGCCCACAGATTGGTTGAAGTTACTGTATTGTGTGATACCTTGGTGTAGAATGCCGAGTACAAATGGCCTGCTGCCTTTTCAATCACTGAAGATTAAATTAAACTTGCTGAAATTTTTTTTATTCATTAGCAATTAATGCACTTCTACCAGAAGACATCTTATTTGTAAATAATGTATGTGAATTGCCTTTTTTTTTACAGTCTGCTGAACCAGAAGTCTTTACATGTTCAGATCAAGAAATGCAAGTCATTGTGCATTTGTAATACATAGAACAAACTGAATACAATATCCCCGATTTTTTTTCCATGCAATATCACGATTTTGCCATCTTTTACTGCTGCACTCTGGTGCCGTTAAGGATTGTGAATTGTTCCTAGAATTTTTTTCCCCCCCAAATGTCTTATTTGAAGTGTTAGACCCTAGTTGCCTCACATTGCTCTGTGTCTATGATTATATGTTTGCATACTAACTTATTTTGCTAAGCGAATGGGCGTGTGTGCCAATGATACAGGGGCATTAATATTTCCTTATTAGCAACTTTAAGGTGCAAGACTGAGGTGTAGGAAGTGAGTCAGAAGACTGTGCTATTTCCATCTCTTCTGAGCAAGGTCAATGAGGACTTCCAGACGTTGTACAACTACTGATTTAATTTATTTTTTAAGTTTCTGAAAAGTTTTTCATAATGTTCTGCATTCAGAAGTCCAGTTGTCTTCCTAGCTGATTGTTTTTTGTTATCGGGCTGAACTGTTTCCCCCATCTCCCAACCCCCTTCACTTCCCGATGAACAACTAGATGGATCAAACTATTGTCAAACTTGACTGGTATAAAGTAGTAGTGTTTTTTGTTGTGCCAGTGCTCTTCACCACAGAATAAGATGTGGGATGGCATCTAGGATTCCCTGAGCAGGACTGGGATGAGATGCTTTTCAGTTGGGCATAGAGGTGGTCTGGCAAACCTGCTTGCAAGCTACTGCCACAGATCTATGAGCAGGACCCCAGCAAGCAAGGAGAAATCAATATAAATATATATAGTGTATATCATGTATATTTTTATATTCATCTATAGTTTACATCTCGTATGAGCCCCATGGTGCCCATCCAAATGTGCTGTAGTGGTGATATGACACACAGGCCCTGATGTTTACAGAGGGAACCTCACAATTTCAGTAGATGTTAGATTTGCAAGGTCATTTTCACAGCCAAGATGAGGGGGCATCTGTAATTGAATGTCCTTGAAAGGCTGGTAATGGTAGGCTTTTAAAACGTTACTGTGGATTTCAAGCTAATGTTTCACAAAGGACCATTACATGCATTCTTCAGAAGACCAGATATGAGGCAGTAAAGAGTGTAAGGTCAGTAAAGAGAACATCTAGATGTTCTTTTTTTCCCCTAATTTTGTAACACTGCTGACTCTGGGTTTTTTTAAAAAAAAACGTAATTTAAGTTGCTATTTTGCTTCAGTGCAGAAAATATACTTGTGAAACGTATGCCTTTTTTTGACACGACTGTCTGAAGTCACACTTCCCGTGACGACATTTCCTTTTATTGTCCTTTTCCTCTCCCAGCTTTCATGAAGCACTTAAATATTATACTTATCGATGTTTGAATACTATAAGCAGGTTGCGTTGTGAACAATTTGTAGAAAACAAAATTATCAGTGTGCACTTCTCAATGCAGTAGAATGAATACGTGTTCTTTTTGTTGAAGAAAAAAAAGTGCAGATAGGAATAGGAAAGCTGTTGCAGGGTTACACATCTTTTGAATGTTAAAGTTCACACCACAGGAAGTTTCATTTCTACAATAAATATGCTTTTCCCCCCCCATCGATGCATCTCTTAGCCTTTCAATATCAACTTAGTAAGGTGCTACTTGTCGGGAACAAAATGATTAGAGAAGTTAATTTGGTTACTTGAATCGACACAGAACCTGACTCCTACTGTATATATTATTATATATGTATATATATATATATGTTCTAAATTAGGGGCTTTGACTGCATCTAGGACTTGCTAGTGATAAAAAAAGAAATGTCTCACATTTTTAATCTGACATTGATGGTGAACACTGATGCTAGCAAAGTACAGATATCCTTTGCACCATAAACTGCTGTGCTGTTTTTCTCAACTGTTGGCATGAATTATTTATGTAAAAATGACTCCAACTTCATATTTCTATCTAGTTTTTTTTTGCATGTTTTCAAGATCAAGCTGGCGAGATTAGCAAAGTTCTAGACCTGTGCACTGAGAAAAACAAATTTAGAGCTCCAATTTGGTATTTCACCTCAAAGCCTTCTGTCCTATCTTTGAAGCCTATGTTTATACATTTTTGTATTAATTTATGAATGATTTTTTTTCAATAAAAAGTTCCACTATAAATTGCCGCGTGTGTTTTAATTACTGTGGGACGGGGCATATTTCAGTTTATACACTTGTTAATTTGAGTTGCAGAGAATAGAATGGGGAAAAAAACATTTAAAATGTTCTGAACAAATTGCTGCCTATGAACTTCCCAACAGCATATGGCAAGGCATTCAAGCCACAAAATACAGTCAGTTAACTTTACAATATATTCTGTGAAACGCCTTGAGAAGCTCAAGGACAAAATAAGGCTAGATCAAATGCAAGGATTATTATTCTCCTTATACAACGTGTTCTCAAATGCTCTTCTCTCAACTCAACCCTTTATAAGATCAGCAGCTCACCTTAAGGGCTTCTGTCCTATATTTGACACAATAGACTCAGTGTGTGTTTGTGTGTGTCTCTCCCCCGGCTTGACTTGGACCCTGATCCACACATCATTCTACCTGTTATGATAGGTGCTCTATTAAATCAACGATTATTTGTACTACAACTGCTTGAACACAAAACAAATATTATGGCCATTTCTCATCCTCTTTGCCACCCTCCCTTGGGATTTTGGTCGATTCTGAAGCCGTTTCGAGCAAAGTATTTACATCATGGTAAGATTTTGATCTATACCTAAGTGGGCTGAAGGGCCGTTTTCTCAACCAATCTTGTCTCTGGGTCTAATATTATACTATTTATATTACTAAATCATTCCATGGTAGCTTCCAAATGATTTATTTATAAAACAGAAAATGCAGTTAAGAATCGGTACAAATCTCTTGCACCTCTCTTGGAGATGAAGACTTAAAATTTGGTCTTGGAGGCCTGGCTGATCTCTGATTCCTGCTTTAACAAGAACAAAATTCCATTTTGTTTCATTTCACGGCGGGAGGACATCCCACGGTGGGCGACCTGGAGCAGGCCGGAACCTGCTGAACGGAGGGAGCAGACAGGTTGACAGAGGGTCAACGGGTCAGAGATGTAGGAGGGGGCAAGGCTGTGGAGGGCCTTGAAAGTGAGGACAGGGATTTTGAATTTTCAGCTCTGAGGGATAGGGAGCCAGTGGAGCCAGGCGAGGGTGGGGGTGATGGGATCACGGAGCCTGGTGCAGGAGAGGACATGAGCTGTAGAGTTCTGGATGATCTGCAGCTTGTGGGGGGAAAAGTTGGGGAGGCCAACGAGGGAGTTTCCATAGTTGAGCCTTGAGATGACAAATGCATGTATGAGGGTTTCGGCAGCCTAAGGCGTGAGGCAGTGGTGGAGTCGGGCAATGTTGCTGAGGTGGGGGAAGGCAGAGCGGGTCATGGCATGAATATGGGGGAGAAAGGACAGTTGCAGGTCAAACATGACGTCCAGGTTCCTAACTGGCTTGGTAAGGTGGAGCATGCATCCATAGATGCTGGTGCTGCCAGTGTCTTGAGGTGCTGAGGTGCTGTCGCGAGCCAATTAGGAAGGCCTCGGTCTTGCTGACATTCAGCTGTAGAAAGTTGGTTCTCATCCAGGACTTGATACCTGACAGACAGTCTGTCTGGGGGCAGAGAGACAAGAGTTGGGTGTCACCTGCGTACATGTGGAAGTTAACCCTATGTCTGTGGATGATGTCACCAAGGGAGAGCGTATAGAAATTGGAAGCGGAGGAGCCCGAGGACAGAGCCCTGAGGAACACGGCATGAGACTTGCGGGGGCTGGAAGACAAACCATTGACGGAGATAAATTGGAGATGGCATGAGAGATAAGACTTGAACCATTCAAGGACAGAACCTTAAAGGTTGAGGTGAGAGGAGAGGCAGTGCAGGAAAATGGAGTGGTCCATGGTATCGAAGGCAGCAGAAAGGTTGAGGAGGATGAGAAGGCAAAGGGAGCCCTGGTCACAGATGGACAGGATGTCGGTTGTGACTTTGACCAGAGCAGTTTCCGTCCTGTGAGCCAATTGCAATTGGAGGGGCTCATGATGGGAGTGGTACGAAAGAAGGGAGCAAAGCTGGGAAGCAATGACTCTTTCAAGGACCTTGGAAAGAAAAGGGAGGTTGGAAATGGGCTGGTATTTAGAAAGCAGGGATGGGTGCAGGGAAGGTTTTTTCAGGATGGGGTGATTATAGCTGTTTTTAGATTTTTAGGGGGATGGGGACTATGCCAGATGATAGGAGAGATTGATGGTGTCGGAGAGTAGAGGGGAAAGGAGGTGGAGCTGGAAGGTAAGTAGGGGAGTGGGGATGGGGTGGGGAGTGGGTTCTGTCCTTGAATGGTTCACTGGAGTGGTGTTTGGGAGGATTGAGGCAGCTGACTGCCTTTAACTGCAGTAGCTGCAGGATTATTCTGCCATCTGTTGGTGGCCTCTAGTTTTTAAAAACATTTCTATTTTAACATTTATAATTAAATATTTTGCCCACAAAATATACAGTCAATTCGCTTTACAGTACATCCTGTGAAGCGCTTTGAGATATCTCAACGACGTGATAAGGCACTATATCAAATGCAAGGATTATTATTATGATATTATTTGTAATTTTTAATTGATTTATTACTTTAATAAAACTGGCCTGCATTTTGGTTTATGGGTTTGTATGTTCAGTGTATCTTTCCATACCCTTGGAAATTCTACATACACCAATGAACCCTTACCCAGAGGTCATCCTTACCTGAAGGCCCCTTTGGTGCGTGCACTGAGTAGTTGTTGAAAGCAGGGTAGGTTGTGTTTGTATTTACTGCCATAAGAGATAAGATGACTCAGAGAAGTGAAGGGCTATTCATCTTGTGCCTAATCAGCCTTTTTTATCTGAACTGTGCCCAGTGCTCCATCTGAACTTGACAACAAAAAGAGACATGAGTTACACTGCAGGGAATTGGTATCTTTAGGATCCCATTATATAATTCATCATCTAGAACTTGCCCAAAAGAATTCTAGCGGTAGCAAATGATTTACCTCCAGAGAATTACTCTTCCCAACAAATCTTTCTATTCTGACTGTAGGTGTATCGATCATTTCATAAAGTGACCAGATGTTCGGCACTGAAGAGATATTACAGTGTGGTCTTCTGAGAGGTTGGTATGAATCGTGATGTAGTATGTGACGTCATTTAAATTTAATGGGGAGACCAAAAAGGTACACAATTGTGTGCAAGTGAATCAAATTAGAATAGATATTGTGCTCATTGCAGATAATATCCTAAGAGGCCTACGGTGAATATGCAGCAGGTAACACGTCTGTAATATGTGAAT